TCTCTCTCTCTCTCTCTCTCTATCTTCTCGCTCTCTCTCTCTCTCTTCTCTCTCTCTCTCTCTCTCTCTCTCTATCTCCTCTCTCTCTCTCTTCTCTCTCTCTCCTCTCTTCTCTCTCTCTCTCTCTCTCTCTCTCTCTCTCTCTCTCTCTCTCTCTCTCTCTCTCTCTCTCTCCATGATGCTGAAAATGTTAGCAGACTCCAACAAATGCTGCAGAGTCTACTATAATAGCTACCAAAGCAGTCCGGAAGAGTTCCGTCAATCCCCGTGCCTGCAAGTGATACGTTTATGCTTATGGCAGTGCACTGGTCCGGAGCCAGAGTCGGAGTCGGAGCCGATCAGCAGGCCGAAGTCAGATTTGGAGTTGCGATGGGAACAGCGCCGTCGCGACCCAGAACCCTTTTTCTTTATAGGTACTTTCAGCTTCAAAGTAGCTGGCTAGATTTATTACTTAACAAAGCAGGCTCTCTGCACACTGCTGCGTTGGGGGGGGGGGGGGGTCTGCACTCTGCAACATGCCTCCACCCATACCTGATATTGCATCTTTTTTAAACACTTGTGATGGCGGAATTAATCAGACCCAGATCTTCAAGGTCGGGTCACTTAGGTTACGTTATAGTGTCCTAGCCTCAGGAAAAGTTATAATGCTCGCCGGCACTGAAGAATGCTCGAGAGGTCACCGGTTGACCTGAGCTCTTAACCTTCACACTTACAGGAGGAGGTCGAACCGATGCGTCCCTCACGGCTTTTTCACGAATAACTCGCGTAAAAAGCGACCGACCGACCGACCGACCACGGCAAAACTTTCAATATCCCGGAATTGATCAATGCTTTATCTTTCCTAAAAATATAATGACCTTGAATCCAAAAGCCTTTGACCTGTAACCTCTTTCTCGATACCATGTCAGGCCAAAATACCGATTCCATGCATGTCAGCGCATATTATCTACGCGTTTCCAGGCATTTTGTGATTGGCACTATCAGGTCCCTGCAGGCGAAATGATCAGGGCCGACATGATCATTTCACATGTCCGATCAGGAGCCGAACGGCCGTAAGGCGGGTCCCTACGGAGTACGGACCATTTCCATCAGTAAACGCTACAAAGCGGCCAATACTGGCAATATTAAATTAGTTACCAGTCAATGTGTCTCGTAACCACGCACACAACTTTCTGGAAGCCCTAGCTTAATCTGAGCGAAACGACGGAGACCGCACACGCTGCCCTCTGGCCGGATTACATGTGAAACACATAAATGTCTGGCGAGGCTCAAAAGGGAAGCTTCACTTCCCATTTATCAAAACTTCATGTCAGGAATAGAATTACTACGCTTAGCTGGTGTCTCTGTATAACGTATTCATAAAAGAGCGCCTTGTCTGCCGCACTGGTAGCACCGAGAGCCCGCTTACTCACGCCCACCCCTCTCCTCCCTCCCTCCCCTCCCTTCCCCAAGGGTCAGGCGATTCAGTGGCCCTCAAACCTGACCGCCCTCCGCCGCGCCGGCCCACCAGCGCCACCCCGCCATGCTGCGGTACTTTCAAGACAGACTGTACATAGGTATCGCCGACCGTGACCGGGGTGAAAGACGGGACGGCGAGGGGAGGGGATGGGGAGGGTGGTGCTGCTGAGACCGGGTCACGGTATTCGACTGCACTCCTCTCGGACGGAACTGGGAGGGGAAGGAGACGAGACGGAGACGGGACGGAGACGGCACAGAGAAGGGACGGAGACGGGACGGGGACGGACGATAGGGGACGGGGACGGACGAGACGGGACGGACAGGGGACGGCGGTATGGACAGACAGGAGCGCATTGGTACTTGGTAGTGCTCGTGGCTCGGGCCTGAACAGGGAAAACCAATAGCGGCCACTGACCGCTGATCATTGTGGAACACGAATAACAATAACACAGTCCGGGGAATCCCACCAGCAATGCAACCAGAATGGAACAAGGATACTCAGAGTTTCTATGAAAGTCATTTTACATAATACAATCCGCCATGCCACATGGATGATGGACTGATCTCTTCTAGTCATCATGAGCTAGGCCAGAAGCCGCTCTCATCCCGGATCAAATGGCCGACGCGCTGTGGAGCCAAGGTCACAGTCGGTGCGGCGGCGCAGATCCACACAGCCCGGGCCGGCCGCGGTGGGGGCGGGCGGACACAGGGGCGCAGAAGGGGCGCAGGAAGGGGCGCAGGGGCGGACACAGGGGCGCAGAGGGGGCGCAGGAAGGGGCGCAGAGGGGTCGGCGGCGCAGATCAACACACTCCGGGCGGTGGGGGCGGGCGGACACAGGGGCGCAGAAGGGGCGCAGGAAGGGGCGCAGGGGCGGACACAGGGGCGCAGAGGGGTCGGCGCTCTTACCTTCCTGGTGTCGGTGTCTGACCAGAACAGCATGCCCTTCTGGTAGTGGTAGTCGACGCCGCTGGCGGCCGTTGTGTTGGCCACCACCTCCACGTCCTTCTTCCGCGGGTCCAGCCGCAGGATCTGCCGGAGAAGCGGACGTCAGTGCCGTCCCGTTATAGTCACCATCGTCAGAAAAGGGGATAGCGTTCAAGATACCTATAAGAAACATAGCGCTAGCAATGGAACACGTTCAACAGTGAATTTTAGATATCGCTTTGAATCGCATCACCAGCGCATTTCGTTTTGGATTTTCATTACTGCGCACTTCCAATACACCGTTGTGCAATGTGCGGCGTACGGCGTGCATACTGCGCGTGCCTGCCCACCGTATCGTATTGTTATTCAGTGTAAGCTGCCGTATAATCCCCCGTCCCCTCCCCAGTGGGGGCAGTCCGGCTGCCGACTGCACAGCGCGGGCTGGCTACCCCGGGTCCGAACCGACCGTGTTCTTTATCAGTATGCAGGGTTCGGTCCGGCACGGATAGTCCCCGCCCGAGGCCGGCTCGTTTCCAGTGCTGCCTCCGTCTCACAAACAGGCACAAAAACACACACGGTCCCTGCCGTCCCGGTAGTCTTCCCCAGCTACAGGTAGAACCGCTAATTGTTATTCGTCGGGTCCACCGCCGTGGGGTAAGGGGTGGGCTGCGACCGCGGCCGGTACGGACGCGGGACCGACCACTGCGTCCACCGTATTCACATGACAGTGGGGTGAGATGGGACGCCCACCGTTTACCATTCATTGCGTGCTATCCATCGGCCACCGCATCCACTGTCTATCGGTGGTCCAGGGCCGTCGTGGCGACTGGTGCTGCTCCAGCCCCGCTGTGGTCGTTAAGCCCCCCCCCCCCCTCCCACAGCTCGTCTCTGCTGCCGCCGGCGACATGACGCCGGGTGCTGCTCGAAGACTCGGGAAAACACGGAGCTGCGCCGCGGTGCACTGGACCAAGGCCGGCTGTCCCGGAGCTCACACAGCCCCGGCTCAAGGCTGCCCACTCAGTGGGTATAGGTGCCGCGGTCACCCTTCGTGAGTCGACAGACAGGTAGTTAAAGCAAAAAAAAAGTTCAGCAATGGGCAGCGCTAAACAGCTTCGACTTTCGCAAGATGTCACTTATCGACGCAGCTGTAAAAACATACCTACTAATTATTGTTAAAAATGAAAATAAAAAATAAACGGGACGTAATGATCAGTAGGCTATTATTTCGCTCGGTTGTAATCAGGGATGCGGAGCCGTGGAAATTTCAGACGGCTCCGGCTCCGGCTCCGGCTCCGGAGAAAAAAATCGGCTCCGGCTCCGGCTCCGGCTCCGGGTGAAATGTTATAGCGGCTCCGGCTCCGGCTCCGGCTCCGAGTAAAATGGTCCGGCTCCGGCGGCTCCGGCTCCGGCGGCTCCGGCTCCGACTCAGTACATCCCCTATGCAATCAATTAAATACGGGTGGAAGAAAAATTGGATTGGTTATACGCGTTACTCTTTGCCATGACCGACTCACCGCGTCCCCGCGCAAACGCACCTCGGAGATAACTAGCAGAACAAAGGACTAGGAAGCGATGGCATTGGAAACGCAGTTGCCGCGAATCGGAGTTCACTGAACCATCGTAAGCTGACACTCGTCTCGGCTGCATTGGGGTGGGGGGGGGGAGGGGGGTGGCGTGGGAAGAGACGGTGCTGGGAGTCGCAGTCCACTGCACTGGCTTCAAAACAATGGCCGTCACCTGATGACCGGTACTCATGTTCTGGGGATGCAGTAGACGTGGGGGGGGGGGGAGGGGGAGGAGCACACAGGAAGTTGATTGCGTACTGTGGCCTGTGGGATACTGGGGATATTCGGCTTTTTCATTCACTTGATGGCCCATGACGTACTTACCATATGTTTTACTGCCTTGTACTGTCAATCAGAACTAGGTCAATTTTTTTTCCTCTTCAAAAAATAAAAAGGAGCCGGAGTCGCCCCTTTTTTGGCGGCTCCGGCTCCGGCTCCGGCTCCGGGCTATATTGTTTCACGGCTCCGGCTCCGGCTCCGGCTCCGGGCAAAATATGCCGGCTCCGGCGGCTCCGGCTCCGACTCCGGCTCCGGCTCCGCATCCCTGGTTGTAATGCCCCAAGCCCGTTCCGTCCGTTGTCGGTCCCAGCTGTTCCCCGCCGATCCCCAGGTCCGCTGTCAGGTCCACGACGGACCAGGCCGATCCCCACCACCGGTTACACCACCGCGCTGGTCCATCCCTGGTCTGCCGCTGGTCTGCTGCTGGTCCACAGATGGTCTGTCGGTTGTCGGCCGGACCGGTCGGTCGCGCGCCTCCGATGGTGAATCACCCGCCGGCAGCGGCGGTGGCGCGGTGTGCCACGCGGCGCGGTACCGACCGGCGCCGTGGCACAGCACGCCACCCAAACGGAAACAGACCGCACCGGTCGCAGTCCCATATCAGACCATTGTCACTGTACTGACCCGCAGAGCAGCGATCTGCCGGCCACAGCCCCGCGCCACGCCTGTATGTCGTCGTGCCGGCCGCAGTGAGCGGCGCACTTCCGAGCGTCATCGCTGGCGGTGTCACCGGCGTCAGCGGGAGGCGCTCCGTCAGCGATCAGCGCTCAACCAGCGCTCTGTCAGCGGGCAGCGCTCCATCAGCGCTCCATCAGTCTCCGTCAGCGCTCCATCAGCGGGAAGCGCTTAGCCAGCGCTACATCAGCGCTCCGTCAGCGGGCAGCGTTCCGTCAGCGGGCAGCGCTACATCAGCGCTCCGTCAGCGCTCCATCAGTCTCCCTCACCAGCTATCACTCCATTAACGCTCCATCAGCGGGGGTAGTGCGGTACCCGCCCCTAGTCCGTGCTCGCCATGGCACACCAGAGCATGAGAACTCCCAGTTCAGAGCAAGCCAGCAGTGGTATCCGGACCGTTCACGACCACACAGACCGAAGAAGACCAGGCTGGTCCAGTGCTGCCTCCTCCGGCGCGTCCCGGGAAAGGGGCGCGCCGTGTGACGCGTCACGTCACCGTGTCGGCCGCGTCCGTCACGGGGTCGCTGGCTCTGCGTCACGCCGTGCCGGCCACCCACCACCGTGAGGCCGGCGAGACGCGTTGCGAAACCAGTTTACCACCTGCGCAGCGGTCCAGCCGAGGCGGCTCGTCTTCAGGAGAAGCCGATTACTCATTAACTGATACAGCCGTGGCTGGCAGGCTGCACATCACAGGAGACTGCACAGCCGAGACCTGACCAGACCCCACAGTTTACACAACTCAACAGCATTAGTCACCCACTGTGTACAGTAGGTCTATTAAAAAAGTCCCCAGCACCAGTGGGCGCTGTCTTCGCTGAGCCGAACCCCCGTCTGCCTGTCCCATATCGCGCCGGGCTCAGGTCAGGTAGGGTCAGCGGGACCGCTCGGTCCGGCCCGCGGGCGGTGGACGGGCGGCCGGTAACGCTTTCCACCAGCCAGCTGTAGAATCCAACAAACGGGACGGCCACCGCTCAGCGCAGCGAAACCGGTGTTAAAGAATGGCAGTAGATGTTCATGGCCAATGAGATAGTCATTGTTAGCCCGTGCCCCACAGGAATGCCTAGACTCTCACGCCCTGTTGGAGGGGAAATGGGGATTGAGCATCATTCTTATAACTCAGCTTTGGGCATTTAAGTGGTATTCGAAGTAGCGTCAAAAGTAGCAAAAAGAAGAAAAAATACTTCAGCCAATTTTGGTTCCGGTCATAGCCAGAGGTCATGTCACTAGAGGTCACCGATGGTAAAATTTTGCTTAGACAGGGTGCGTTGCGCGCACCGGTGCATTGGGTTTCCAATTTCCATGGAAACATCAACAGACTCGGAAGCTCGCAACAGGGGCGCGGGAACTACTTTCCGACTGGGGCACACCTTAATAGAGATCAACCTAGGGTCCCCCCAAATCTAGTTTTCTCACCGGTTCTAGGCCACTTATTTTTCATCCCTCGGCTTTTTCAACAAAAAAGAAAACATTTGCAAAAAAGTGTGGTATTCCGTCTCAAAGCTGTGGGGGCACCGCCCCCACGGCCCCGGAGTTGGGGGGGGGGGGGGGGCAAGCTGCCCCCACTGCCCCCCCCCCCCCGGCTCCCGCGCCTATGGCTCGCAACGCTAGCGTGGAGCCCAATTCATAGGTATCAACCGCCGCAACAATGCAGCAGCGCAGCGCAGTGTGCTTCAGCGCGGGGCCGTGAAACACCGCCCAGGGCTATCCATATGTCAGGGCAATCCGACCCACGTGATGGGCTCGGCCCCAGCGGAGCATGAGGTCCAGGACTCCCGCCCAGGCCCCCTGTCTCCCCCTAATTCCTATCATCCTTCCAACTCTGAAATCGACCGAAAGAGCCTAACCTAACACAACAATCAGCTCGTTTACCGCTATGTCTGAAATCTGAATAATATTGTCAGATTTAATTAGGGTCAACGGCTTAGCATGTAAATAACAACAACTGCCACCATCGGTATTATGAGAAAACCAATTGCTTTTCCACAAACACTTTAAAGTGTTTAGCTTAAAACTTGCATGAAATTAATTTTACCAGCCTCTTCGTTCCTCTTATCAAAACGCTTCGAATGAATCGCAAGTTGATCTAAAATGGTCATTTGAAAAATTTGGCCTATGTTCAAAGACATGACCTGACCAGAAATGGTCATAGCATAGCAGGATATTAGATCCGTATCGTGGAACTTTACAAACACTTCAGATGATTTCATAACTTGGCATGTCTATCAAAATAATTATTACATGGCTCATATGTAAGCTGGATGTGTGAACATGCTTGCAAGTATGTTGAACGCAACTGATAATGTTCTGTTGGCCACATTTTCTATATTTAATTTATCCTCCCGAATTTCATATTTTTGTTAATGACACCTTGACGATGTCGAGAAAAACCCGCTGAGGAGATTTAACAGCCTGAGATACATTCAGTATAAGGAAGGTTCAAGGTGCTAGATTCCTTCCGTCCTCGCTATCCTCAGGAAAAACCAATCCGCGTCGCCCCTACATATGTAGTCTTCATGCTTCCCTCTCTGGACTGGAGGTCACCCCACCAGCCAACCTGTAGTTGATGTCGGATCCATTCCAGGACACATAATCCTCTTCGGGTGACCGTTTGGGAGACGGCTGGACCGTCCCGACAGGGCAATCGTCTCACGGGGAACAGTCTCGCTTCCGCAGATCACTGTCGCTGGCTCGCACAACCCAATTACTACACCACAGCATAGTAATGTCATATAGTCCGTTTTTCTTAAGTTTGCCCCTCACTGTAAACGTCTCTTTGAACACAGCACGAGAATTGCTAGCTGAATTACTGAGAAAACTGGTAAGCGCACATTGTATTGTAGATATGAATAATATTTTCAAAAATAAGTTTTGAACATCGACGATTTAACGTTATGTTAAGCGCCGTGCAATTTATTTATTAGTTCAGACATAAGTCCTGAGAAGTCGTCTATCCCTGTGAGGCTGTAGGTATTGGCAGATACGATTTACGAGTCTGTGAAATAGTAAATAAATTTGATGAAATTGATCGTCTGTGAAATCTGGTTAAATCAGTGTGCGCCAACCAGTTTTCTCAGTAATTCAGCTAGCAATTCTCGTGCTATGTTCAAAAAGACGTTTACAGTGAAGGTCAAACTTAAAAAAAACGAACTATAGCTCTGCAAGGGCCTTTTCAGACCGAAAAAGATGGCCCCCAACAAAACAAACAATTTTCTCATTCAGTATTGTATCTCATCAACCACCACATGTTTTCAGAGTGTTTATTATGCGTTCCGTCCAAAAAAGCGCAGTTCAATTTTCGCCCATTGACTTGAGTTGACCCGGCATTTCTGTCAACAATGTCAAACTTGCAAAGTAAACGTTTCAAATAGGTACATACACTGTTGCCCATTAAAATCGCTGAAAGTTCTGAAGCGATCGGTTAGTCGGTGTATTTAGATATGATGAGCACAGGAACTTTCCTTGAGGTAAGGTCACTTGACGTAACCTGATGTTATGACCTTGAATTGAAAGACTTGGGCGGGAAAAAATAGGTCATTTGAAATCTTAAAATGCTAGATTTTAACAATAATTGCAAACACTATCCCGGCCAAATAGTGAGTGAGAAGGGAGCGATTCCCCGACCCCACGTTTAGCTCCTATAATTGAGCTAGCTGCTAGAGCCTCGCGGAAAAAAAACGAGTGCTTGCGTCGTTACGTGACGCAGCGACTGGCACCCCATTTTAGAATATCAGTGACCTCTTAGGGCAGGTCAAGGGCCCCAAGGCATTTGATAGGTTCTTGGTAAATAACTTAACGCATTATCGTCATTTCGATACAATCGTGTTTTCTGTTCTCAGATGCGTCGATTTATATGCTTTTTGCTTAGGTGAAGCAATTTAGAATGTCTACCTCAGGTCAATGTCATGTTAGGGCAACGCAGGTCACGAAGCTGTTGAAAGGAGGACATGTTGCATAACATTTGATTCGGCAAGTCTTGCAAAGTCCATTGATGGCTGTCCAGACTGTCTAGCTCATTTTGATCGGGAGTTATTGACGAAACACTCCTATGACACTAGTGACGTCATAAATGACGTCACGCAAGGTGAACAATGCAAAAGTGAAGCATTAGACCTTGCCAAGAATGTATGAAGTCACGATTTCATGTGCTTGAGGTAAAGTTTTAGATCATTTCCGACGCCAAATTAACAGTTTCCATAATTCCCCATTATGCTTATACGACACTAATTGCATTGCGGATTGCATCATTTTATAGCCGACAACCGTGCAGAGGTTTACCTAAGACATAGTTACGTGACCTGACCTGAAAACGTGGTTGATGTCAAGTGATCCGGCTTGAATGAAATGTAAGGCATGTGAAATGTCAGCCTTCTATCATCAGTGTGCTTTGAGCTACCGCAAAAAATGCATGGTGGAGGCATCCACCCCTTCTTCTCGGCCGGCGAGGGTAAACCTCGCTTCGAATTATTGCAGATGATGTGACCGAAAACAAAGCATTATTCTGTGTCTAGAACGGCCGCTGACTTGTTGGACAAGATCCCCAATCTTAATTCGCTAGATGGGAATAAAATACTCGGTATGTGATACATATTACTGTATGCCTGGCCTATTCAAATACATTAGCCAGAGAGGTGTGGTAATAATTGGTGTAAGCAAATTGACCACGGTCAAAAATGCATTACCAGAATGCACTTAAGCCAACATTTTGGGATGGTCTCGCTCCTAAGTCGACTAAGAGCTTCGGTCCAGAAAATAAATTTATCGTTGGCATACAGTAAAATACATACCAAACTCGGCCGGTGATAAATTTCCAAGACCTCAGTCCTTACTGATTTTTGAACTCGGCCTTCGGCCTCGTTCAAAAATCCAGTAAGGACCTCGGTCTTGAAAATTTATTTACACCGGCCTCGTTCAGTATTATATATAGTTATACCCCTCGATTTGCCCTCGCCCTAAGTCTATTCTAATCATCACTGTCGCTTTTTTATCCGAGATGATGTCGCCGCTAAACGGGTTGTTTTGTTTGCTTGCTTGCGCTGGATGGCCATTACAGATTATTGGAGGATTATGATAAAATAGGAACGGGACAAGGGAGGATATGCACTGCAGGTGTTCAATTTAGATCACAAAGGCATCATTTCCGGCATCGTGCAGAGTCATTATCTTCCCCTCCTCTGAGCTGCGGCATCTCTGCGCCCCACACGCTGCGTCCTCACTCCACGGCCGGCCGCCGCCAACTGACCCACTCGCCGGGCGCCGCGACCTGACCCGTGTCTCTGCCGCGGCCTGCGCAATAGAGTCGGGGCTGGAATCCGGGGGTTCGGCCGGCCGGCCGCCTCTGGAGCGGGGGACTTTTTTAGTAGACCTACTGTACCGCATTGTTTGAGCCAATGCAAATTGAATGACTCCACCGAAGTGTGCACAGGAAGAAGAAAGTGTTCGCTCGACCCATGGCGGATATGAACGGTGCTCGGCAGGCGAGACCAAATCGTGTGAAGGGCGCAGAACAGAGCCATTGTTTTCAGCTGGCCGGACACGCTTTAACAGTCCGGGTGTCCCGGCGGGTGCCGGCAGCTCTCGCCGGGAATGGGTGCAGCTCTGTCCGGGTGTCCCTGCGGGTGCCGGCAGCGCTCGCATGGGTGCAGCTCTGTCGGCCGAGCGGCTCGTCCGCTGGTATCGCGGCGGTTTGCGCTATAAAGTACGTGCCGCCGATACCATTCCGGCTCAGCTGCTCGCTACAGACTGTGACGGAGCGCCCGGGGTCGCTCTGGTACGGAGCTCCGCCGCCGCGGAGTACCAGCTCGCTCCCGAGAACCACCCAGGGACGGACGGACGGTACGAGCAGGCGCCGCTGAGCGCGACACGCCGGACCGGTTCCGCGCGGCGGCCGCAGCGGGTCCGGCGGTGGGGACGTCACCGGGCGCCGCGGCACCGGCCGGGACACGAGCCGCCCGGCCGGCACCGGAGCGGCCGTCTCACAACTGCGCGATACCAGCCGTGAAGTGAGCTGACTCACATCCACCGGGTGACGTAGTGCAATATAACGTTAAACAGCACAGCGACAGAGACTGGAATGTTCCACAATTTCAGCGGCGGCGCCGACCCGGCAAACAATGCCTGAATTCAGGGTAATGTCAGCATTAGAAAATGAATAATTGGAACGGGTATTGCTCAATGCTCAAGCCTGAGTAATACACAACATACGATATCGGAGAATCACTAATATCATCCAGTTCAAGGGAAGCGACTCAGCACCACTGAGTGCTCCGTCGTAAATCCTCTTATTGATTGTCATGGGGTTTGGGGACGCATCGTGATCATTATATGCCCACCACATAACTCCTGACCAGTCGCGTCAACAACCATAAGGTCGTCCCTCACGTTCTTAGGAGATCATTTTCTCGTGTGCCATCACCTACCATTTATGTGCCATCACCTACCTTGGTCTGATAGGCGTAGTAGAGGCGCAGTTTGTCCAAGTTATCCCGTGCCCCTGAGTTGTCTGTGAGTCACCACCTATACCTTGGTCTGATAGGCGTAGTAGAGGCGCAGTTTGTCCGAGTTATCCCGTGCCGCTGAGTTGTCTGTGAGTCACCACCTACCTTGGTCTGATAGGCGTAGTAGAGGCGCAGTTTGTCCGAGTTATCCCGTGCCGCTGAGTTGTCTGTGAGTCACCACCTACCTTGGTCTGATAGGCGTAGTAGAGGCGCAGTTTGTCCGAGTTATCCCGTGCCGCTGAGTTGTCTGTGAGCCACCACCTACCTTGGTCTGATAGGCGTAGTAGAGGCGCAGTTTGTCCGGGCTATACCATGCCGCTGGATTGTGTTCATTGGTTACATACCTTGGTCTGATAGGCGTAGTAGAGGCGCAGTTTGTCCGAGTTCTCTGCCAGACAGACGGTTCCGTTCAGCTGATAGCCGACCTTGCAGAGACACTTGTAGCTGCCGTCCGTGTTGGTACAGAAGTGGTCGCAGTAGCCCCAGCCGTTACACTCGTTCAGGTCTGCCGACACAGAGAGGGGCGGTCGGAGGGCGGTCGTACTCGTGGGGACGGGCGTACGGGATGGTCTACAGCAATCAGTCACAGAGACAGCCTCTAGCCCGAGAGTGCATCTTCCATGGCCAACAGACGACCCCGGGCAGCAGACACCACACACTCGACACAGAACGAGAGGGACGTAACTGCCACCAGCGGCCAGTAAACCTTGACCACGCGAAACGACAGTCAATTATCGACCTCCACTGCACGACGGGCGGCCTTCCATTCCAGCCACTCCGGCACGCAAGCCGGCCCCGTAATTGTCGGCAATCCCCGCAGAGAGAGGAGATTCTATTTGGGAAAACAGATTGACGAGGATGCTTAAAGAGACGGGCACCTAATGTTTACGTTAAATCCGAAGCATTATAAACGTGTTGTGGCAGCGTGCTTGCAAAATATGCAAACCTGCCACAGACGGCTATTCACGGCTTCACGGCAGATATTCACGGCTACCAGTGTGGTTTCTTTAATCTTTTTATTTGCGTGAATCCCGGAGCAGGCTTGCCTTCCCTACCCAGGATGGTGTTGGCCAACTCGGGGTCACGTGCTACCGGCTGAATAGGATCAGCCGGGATGGGAGGGGAAGGTAAGTCCTGTTGGCAGCTCGCCAAAGCACGTGACACAGCTCAATGGAACATCGCGAACCTTCACCGCACCTGAACTCTATAAAGTACAATGCATTGTGCCTATGCACCATGCATTATGCACGCAGTAGGTACATGGTACACGGTGCTCAGTTCTCTATGTAGCCGGCACTCGGTACTCGGTACTCGGTACTCGGTACTCGTTACTCGTTACTCGCTACTTACCCTCGCAGAGTCGGCCGTCCTCAGCTAGCACCTTGCCCTCGGGACATATGCAGATACCGCCATCGGCCGAGGCGCGGCACTCGTGTTCGCACTGCAGCGACTCACACAGGTCCTTGGCTGTGGATCGGAGGAGTCAGAGTAAGAGTCAGACTCACTGCAGGGAGTCACAGAGGTCCTTGGCTGTGGATCGGAGGGAGTCAGAGTCAGAGTCAGACTCACTGCAGGGAGTCAGAGGTCCTTGGCTGTGGAGAGGTTAGAATCTGATACAGGACACTCGCTGCAGCGAGTTAAGACAGGCAGTTCGACCCACAGACACGAAACCCAGCCACGGTTGCCAGGCAGCATCGATCAGGGATGACCAATGCACGACGTCTCTCAGTATAGCTGCGGCACGTGTCGATCAATAAATGACCCTGCAGGAGCGTACGCTATAGCACGATTGCATGCCTTGGCACGTCCCTCAGTTGTTGAAATTTAGGACCGCATCCAGCCATACCCTGTACTGTATCCCCTCGCTGTACGATCCCGTGCTATCGCCCTCGGTAAAGCGGGCAGATATCAGAACCCTCCGCGGAGCCCGCGTGTCGGGGATACTCACAGCACTGTTTGTTCTCCTCGTCGAAACCTCCCTGGCAGTCAATGACCGTGTCACAGAGCACCGTGTTGTCCATGCACTTCTTCTCTGTCTCACAGAGGAACTGACCCTCCGGACAATCCTTGGCCTGGGGGCGGTCACGGACGTCACGTGATGTGAGTGACCGTGTGTCACACTGGCACAGAGCAGATTCAGTCGTCAGTCGACAAACTCAATAACAAAACACTATGTCATATATCAGAAGCAGCGGACAACGAATGCTTCCCCTGCGCAGTCTCGAACCCGAGACCTCCCGCTAACCGTCCCGCGGGCGCCGTGGACCTCACCTGACAGTCTTCCTCGTCGGATCCGTCGGCGCAGTCGGGCGACGAGTCGCACTTCCAGCGGTGCGGGATACACAGGCCGTTCCCGCAGCGGAACTGGCCCTCATGACACGCCGGGAAGTCTGCCGGACGACGGGCGGAGGGGGTCAGACGAGAGGGGTCACAGGGCACGGCGGGCACGGCGGGCGGCGGCACGGCACGAAATCGGCACCCACCGACACTGGAGGTAGTGGAGGGCGAGTGTCGATCGTCGCGGCGAAGCCCTGGAGCCGTAGGATTAGTTGACTAGTGTTTGACAAGCTGCCATAGCTGGGATATTTGAAATCGCTCAGAAATGTTTTAGACCAGGCAGTTGCCAAGCAGTCCCTTCGCGAAATCTGAGCCGAGTACGTCGGTGGGATCAGGAGCCCAGGGAGTGGTCCAAATTCACCCCAGTGGTGGTCCAAATTCACCCGGTTACCAGTGAATGGCATGCCAGCCGGGGATCACTCAGTGCAATGTAATTCAATGCATTCCACCGAGGGCAGCAGGGCGAGGGGAAGGCTGCAGCCGCTGCAGCCTCCCATCCCCATTGACTCCGGGGGTGGGGGTAGGGGACAGGCCCACCCACTGTGGCCAGCTGTACGGTACCGGGAGCCAGCCAGTCAGCTCCATTCGGCCCTGTGTCGGCCTGTCCCGGAGGCCCGGCGGCCCCACCCCGGCGACCGGCGACAGCGCGCGGCGTGGCACCGAGTGTTACGTAACGGTCCACCCGCGCGGCGTGCGGAACAGCTGACTGCGGCGACCACGACGGAAATGGGATCAGAAGTCCGACATGTCGAGCAGCCTCCAGGTGTTCTCTGCCGGCCCTCACTGTCCCCGGCTATCCCCAGCCATCCTTTATTGTCCCCAGCCATATCCCCTCCATACCCATGCTCATCCCTAGTCTCCCCCTTGCCCAGTCACCCCAGCCGTCTGAGCTGTCTCAGGCTGTCCGCAGTCGTCTCCAGCTGTGGTAACCCTCCCTCCCCGCTGCGGCCGACAGATAGTGACAGCGCGGTGGCTTGCACCCGTCGTTACGGGGGGTCGCAGGGTCACCCGTCTCGTGAGTAGAGGCTGGTAGGGGTGGCCACCCCGGACGGCCCAGACCCGACCCCTGACGGGGTCACGGCGCCGCTGAACTCACTCAGGGACGACCGCTCTCCGTTAGCTGGACAGAGCTCTCCCTTTCTCCTACAGTGCTACCCTCCTCTTCCTAATGCACTTATCCACTGGGTACCCTCTCTGGACTCCTCCCTAGGCACTGTCTCTGCTCTGCGGCCGGGGTGGGGTCGGTGGACAGTTCACCAGGACATCCCCTCGTGGGGTCGGGTTCGTCTCAGCCCCGAAGTTACCCTCAAGGACGGGATTTATCACGGTCAGCCCGGACGGACAGCGACTCAGCCCGGACGGACGGACGGACGGACGGACGGACGGACGGACGGACGGACGGACGGACGGACGGACAGACGGACGGACAGACGGACGGACGGCCGGTGGCCGTCGGTACTCACTGCAGTCGACCTCGTCGCTGCCGTCGGCGCAGTCGTTTCGGTGGTTACACTCCTGGTCCTTCTCTATACACCGCTTGCCGTCCTTACACCTGCGACAGACACACAGGGCCGGTTAGAAAGGCAGCTGACATAGCCACAAACAAACGTGCCCAATTAAAACGCACCATTTTCAGACGTTAGTTTACATCGGTTAAGTGTTCTGTTAGTGGCAGATCCTGTGACTATTCAGAGCTCTCACCCGCCGTGTCTCGGCCTGGTCTGTTTTATAACCTCCCTCCGCCCTCCCCCTCCCCCTCACACCGCGCCGTGTGACCACTGACCACCCACCTGGTCTGGTTGAGCTCACACGAGGTACCCTCGCACCACATCTCCTCATCTGAGTGGTCTCGGCAGTCCCAGTAGCCGTCGCACTTCTTATTGGCGGCGATACAGAGGCCCGAGCTGCACTTGTGATCGGTGGGCAGACATGTCCGGTAATCTGGGGGAGGGAGGGTCCGGTTAGTCCAGCACACGCATACGCACCTGTCAGTCTGACCGCGTGCGGGAAATGGTGGGAAAAAAGCAGCCCTCCGGTTCGCCAATTCTTGGAGTGCTACACTGGTGAGACTGAAGATGTGTGAAAGAAAAAAAAATCGGAATAAGAGTTGGATTACCATAGGTCCACCCTGTGTTGCCAGGCCAGTCAACACAAAAAGCTTCTGATTACCTAATCACCTATTTTAATAATGTACAATGGCATAACGATGATCTATTTAATCCTGCAAACTTAAAAACAACGTTTCTGTTCAGGTTCAACGTGAATGCAATATCAGCAACTGCATGGCCCTGCAAGTGGCCAGTGGCCTTCGTCGAACAAAACATCAGAGAATGGCCATTTGATTGGCTGCGATGTGGGTTGTTCAGTTGAAAAGGCAGTTAATAAATACTCGTGAAGGTAAATGTTAAGTCGCCAAAATGCGGCGTCATTTTACGTCGGTTCATATCACGCTCGAAAGGATTGACGTCAGCAAACTCGCTACTAAAAACAGGCTTCAAGGCTGGCCAAACAACAAACTAAAGGCCTGGGACGCGTGTCAACCGAGCCTGACAACAGCTGGCACACCATACACCGTCGGTTTTCAGACGGATGGCGATTATCTGCATACAGCAGCCGGGGAAGGCCCTCGAAATAACCGCTCGTCTTATAGGGCTTGGGCTCACCTATCAGGACACGTAGCGTTTCCCGCGGTTCTATAGGCATTGTCACGATAGGCTTCGGCGACTTAAAAACGATTTAATTGGTAATTGAGGAAATAAATATCGCCTAATATGTACAGGCAGCAAACTGAGAAGAAAATCGAAAGAAATGATCTAATATTACATTTCTATGATTGCCGTACTATAGAAACTAAAAAAAAAACTCTGCTGATGTGTTCGCATCCTTCCAGTTGGCCCTAGGTCAACATGCGCGGCCTTCCGTCGGTGGTCACCTGTCACCCGTCAGTCCACGTCTCGACATCGACCGCGGATCGATCTGAGTGGGTCCGGTACAGGGTGTGGGTACAGCGGGGGCGCCCGGCCCGGCCCGGTCCCGACTGGAGAGACGGCGGCCGCCACCCCGCCGCTCCGTCACGGCGGCAGCACGTCACGTCACGACTGCAGGCGACACCGTGACGGCCGGCGAGCGGGCCGTGACGCCACGCCCTACAGGCCCGAGATAGGGCCGGGGCGCCGTCCGCAGCCGGCCGGGGCCACGGCAGTGCACAGGAGACGGCGGACTGGACTGCCGGCGGGGCTCGGCTGTATGTGAGACACACTGACAGCCGGCCGGGGCCAAACCAGTGCACGGGAGACAGCGGACTGCCGGCGGGGCTCGGCTGTATGTGAGACACACTGACAGCCGGCCGGGGCCACAGCAGTGCACGGGAGACAGCGGACTGGCTGTATGTGAGGCACACTGACAGCCGGCCGGGGGACAGCATTGCACGGGAGACAGCAGACTGCCGGCGGGGCTCGGCTGTATGTGAGACACACTGACAGCCGGGCGGGGCCACGGCAGTGCACGGGAGACAGCGGACTGGACTGCCGGCGGGGCTCGGCTGTATGTGAGACACACTGACAGCCGGCCGGGCCCGAGAGTCTCACTGTGGGGTCCGGTACCGTCCGCCGGTGACAGTCCACAGTGGACCGTCAGCGTACACTGTGACTACTGCACACTGACTGCTGCACACTGTGACTAGTGCACACTGAGACTCAGTGCGCTGTCAGTCACAGTATTGCTCCAGAGCACTGATAGTCCTGTTTACCGTCCACCGAGCCATCACAGCCAACGTGCAAGAATTTCAGACCAACCAATCAACAAGCGGAAGTCTATAACATTTGCACGATCCGTTTTGTTTATTTAATGTTAAACATTAAATAAAGCTTGTCCGCGTCTTATCACTGGACCCTAAGAAGAACCGAGATCTCAGGAAATCCGCCTGGGCAACAAAAGGGACTTCAGGGAACCTCAGAGGTCCTCTGAAGGACCACCAGGGACCTCCGTGGCCCGCCATGACCCTCATGAGGCCCTGCCAACTCACTGCAGTCCTTTTCGTCGGAGCCGTCGGCGCAGTCCTGCAGCATGTCGCAGCGGTGGTGGTTGGGCACGCAGTACGTGTGGTTCCACCGGTACTCGCCGCACGCAAACTCGCCGTCCTTGCACACCGGCGGCGCTGCGGGGCAGAGGGAGAGGTCAGAGGTCAGAGGTCACAGGGCAGAGGTCAGTATCCGCCGTCCTTGCACACCGGCGGCGCTGTGGAGGGGGGAGGGGTCATGGGTCAGTAACTCAGTACCTACTCACAGGCGGAGCTGGGGGGGGGGGGGGCAGGGGGAGGTCAAAGGTCAGTACTCGCCGTCCTCACAGACTGGCGGGGCTACGGTAAAGTAATCTTGGGGCTACGGGAGAGGGGAAGGGTCAGAGGTCATGGGTCTTTACTCACTGATCTCCACACCAGACCCAGCGCAGGTTTTAATGTAGGGCCTAATTTATGTAGAAAATAAAAAACGTGTCCGGACAAAATTTCGTCTGACATTTTTTCGTCGGACAGTTTTTCGTCCGCAGATTTTCGTCCGACTTTTTTTCGTCTCGCATTTTTTCGTCTGTACATTTTTTCGTCTGTGCATTTTTTCGTCTGTACCTTTTTTCGTCTGTATATTTTTTCGTCCGGACATTTTTTCGTTCGTATATTTTTTCGTCTGTACATATTTTCGTCCGGACATTTTTTCGTTCCATAAATTTTACGCCTGTTCACCCAAGGTTGAGTGAAAACATACTACAATGCTATTCAACTGTGGAGGCAAATGACGTCATAATAATACTGGGGGCGAAGCAGTGCAGTGCCGAAGGCAATGCCTTAGGAGAGATTACAGGCAATGGTAAGTCAAATATTTTTAGGTTAAGTGGTTGTGTATCTGGCTTCAGGCCGAAGGCCTGAAGCCTGATGCATAACCACTTAACCTAAAAATATTTGACTTACCATTGCTTGCAATCTATTCATGCAAGTAACTTTTTCCTTATCCCCCGGTAGGCAAACATCAGTAGGTAAGGTTAGGTTAGGTTAGGTTAGGTTAGGTTAGGTTAGGTTAGGTTAGGTTAGGTTACGTTAAAATTGTAGACGAAAAAATGTCCGGACGAAAAAACGCACAGACGAAAAAATGTACAGACGAAAAAATGTCCGGACGAAAAAATGTACAGACGAAAAAATGTACAGACGAAAAAATGCACAGACGAAAAAATGTACAGACGAAAAAATGCGAGACGAAAAAAAGTCGGACGAAAATCTGCGGACGAAAAATTGTCCGACGAAAATCTGCTGGACGAAAAACCGTCATGGAATCATAAAAAAGCTATAATTTGCCTCATTGTGATGCATGCTTGCGATAAAAAAAAAAAAAATACATTTCTACGAGATCAGCGCCAAGCGGCACGTCAAGTGTAAATCAGACCAGGCACCTGCTCACTAAGCCAAGCTCTGCAATAGACAAAAAGCAAGTGCGAAGGAATTCGGTAGTCCTGAGGCAGTGCGAAACCACAGACCGATTTAAAAACCCGGATGCCGAAAACGCAACGTGCTTGGGTGCAGAGTTCCCAGCACGGTAGAGCGCGTAGTTTCGTACGGCGGCCGGGCGGCTCCTCTCCCCCCCCCCCCCCGTCCCCGTGCCCGAGCACTGACCGACTCCCAGTCAAGGTCAGTCAAGGTCATGGCGTGGCCGTCGCTCGGTGGGCCGACCGGCCGGCCGCTCTAGCCGCCGGCAGACCGGAATGGTGCACTATAATTCACCACATTATTCAGGGTTTGGAATTGGAAAGCATTTATAACGGCAGCAAGCTAACAGTACAGTTGGTGACATACCAGGGAAATAAGCTAAAATTAGAGCGCTCTATTTATTGCTCCTGCCCCATGTTGAAGAGATACCCCTAAAAGCGTGATCTTTTATCGGCCCTTACGCAGCAAGGCAGTAATTCTCAGACCGGTGGATGGTATCAATAGAAAGAGAATGCGTCAAAGATTAACATGAATTAATTAAAATAACATTAAAATGTTAATTAAGCGTGGAAATAAGTCCCAAACATAAGCTAATTATTGCTCCTACCTCGGCGACGGCGCTCCCCGCAGTCGGCGGAGAAGCTAAAATAAAAGCTACCATCCTCCTCCGTAAGTCAATTTTAGAGCGGCCGAGTGGGCCGATGCGGGGCCACCAAACTGAGGTGAGACGTGGCTAGTAATTGCAAACCGCCATAGAAATCAATATCTTAAGACGTACCATATGGGATGATTACTCTGAAGCTGGAGTGAAAGCATGAGTAGATTGCAAGAAACGAAATGCATAGATTGGTTGAATTATGTACAATAGGCACAGCTCAGATGAAGCCATTTCTATGATGTTGATATATGACATAACCCTTCCTCTCCTCACCTATGACCTAAGTGCATTGGCAGTTACCGGCAGTTTTTGAGCACGAGTGTAATTCGCCATCGGACCGCAATACATGTTGCCAGGCTGCTGCAATTACAACGAACATACGAATAATGCCTTCATTTGTAGGCGTTTGTTTTTTAGGCGGTCTTTGACGTGCAAGGGGGGCGGGGGCATACCTGTCGACAACTTGAGTTTCTCTGAATTTCAAAAACTCCCAGAATTTCAATTCCTTATGCACTGTTGTAGGTACAGCTATGTTCACAAGTTTTCGTTTCCTCCTGTTCTAAAAAGGATGATATTTGTCGATTTCGTGCGTCGCTGATAGGAGGGTGCGTTTAATAATTAGGCCCAACGCTTTCTGCATCCGCGAGTACCTTCAAAAGGGAACAACAGTTTCCATTTATTACACTATGGGACATGTGACAAAATGACCACTGGAACACGCATGAAACGGAGCTCATATTCCTAAAAATGTCTACAATCACTTCTTTTCTGACACTATTAGCAAATACCATCTCAAGTTAGGTGGTTGACAGACAGTTAATGCCTAATGGAGATCTGGGGAGACTGAGTGATGCCAATTCACCACTTAACTGATAATGAGGGCCGAGGGAAGAGAAACATGCAACATGCACAACTGACAACTTGACAAGTGACAAAACACTACCACTATTGTGCAGTGCAGTGTGCACAACAAATTACAGCAGCCAGCCCAAAAATGCTTTTGGTGGCTAATTGCAAACAAGTCACTAAAAAATGTCTTAGTTGCAGCTGAACACTGCACAATAATCACACTGTTCACACATTGAGTGAGATGCCACAGGTGGTTTGAATCACACTTTGGTTCAACTGCAAATCTGAAGTGTTGTCATGAGGTTCATGCCTCCATGATCACAGCACTTTGGTTGTGGTTGGCATAACACTTGTAGTCTGCAGAGTTCCACATGAACTGCAGACACCTCATCTGGTGGTCTTCATGTTGCTCAACTTCTTCAGGAGGCAAATGTCGACCACCCAGCGGAAGCATGGCCCTGCAGAAAAGAAAGGTAATGCATAAGGTACAAACATTATCTGCTGAAACAGCTCCTTCTGTTGGCTGTTATTAAACTTTTAACATAGGTAACATAACAACATGTATTCCATGTATATTACATTTGTTGAAGTAAAATACTGCCGGCTATTTCAAAACCAGAAAATGAAATTATATTGTGGCATAATTCACCTGCTCAGCTATCAGTATCAAATAATAATTAATTTAATATTTGGCATATTCTATATAACACATTCATAGAATATTATGCTTCACGTTACAAGGACTCACAATCTTTCTGTTGGGTGTTTGATTGACGCATTAACTGAGTTTGTCTTAGGTTTTATTATTGCAAAAAATTCATATTGCATTATTGTATCAAAATACTGCCAGCAATAACAAAACAAGAACATGAAATGCCAATGAGCAAGCCGCCATTCCTTAAAATGGATTACTTTGAAAGGAATTTTAGTTTCTTTTAAGGAAAAGGAGAAATGATTATCAGGTAATTATCAGAAAATCACTCAACCTGCAAGTGGCTGGGTGGTTTCACAGCAAACATCAAGCCAAAACATATACTTACATCTATCTAACAATTGAGCCATTTGACTACTACAAGGATATGTGAGCAAAATAAGAATCCAATTATCCAATGTTGACTTCCTTGCAAAGTTTATGCCTTATTTTATGAAAATGTGTCACTAGAATATGATACTTATCATCGAATATTATTTAATTTACGATTTATTTCGATCGGAATGCACATGGAGTCCCGCGCCATTTTCGTCGACGATGAATATGATCGTGTTTCATGAAGAGATAAGGGGTTTCAATGGTCTTTCAAAGCAATAATTTGATGCAAAAATGTGTAGGAAATAATATGAAGCTGGTTCAAATGGCCATCAACCATTTAAAACACCGAAAATACTCACAACTCCGTCCCGACGACCACGCAGCACCGCGAACGCCACACTACTGGCACAATGCCAAAACTGCTGTCACAGCGGAAATGTTTTTTTTTCTCGATTGCAATTGTGGAATTATTAATTAAACAGAAGATGATCTTTCCGAAAAACCGACTCATTTCATACACAGATGCATGGAAAATAAAAAAATCCCGGTAAGTTTATTTGTATTGTTTTGTCGATTTTGACATGCTCCTAGTTTGCAGCCATATTTCGATATGTTCTACAGGGAGTTCAGAATTATTTCAGGACCAATCTTTTCCTCATTCATTTTCCCGTCGATCATGAAATTTTTAGAGCGGAACAATTGGTTTCCAGGCGGTCCGAGCGATTTTCGTGAGAAGGGTGCAAAAATCGGCGTCATTTTTAGAGCCTCGACACCAGCTCAACACAGGACCCTATGGGAGACGGTGAAGTAGCGGGAGCAATAAATAGAGCACTCTAATTTTAGCTTATTTCCCTGGTGTGTCACCGACTGAGTAAGCACGAATTGAAAGCGTGTCGTCTGTATGCATCTCCCACCTGTATTGTGTGCTACCAGCTCACATCGAGACCGTACGAGTGCCCAAGTGACCGGTGCGACGTCAGGGGGGGGGGGGAAGGCCAGGGGCCGTGGTGGCCTGACCGATCAACATCAGCCGGCCGACCGTATGCATTTACGAGTATGTGTATGGGGGGAGGGGTACCGTGAGGACGGACGGGTGAACGGGGGGAGGGGGAGACAGACGGGTACTTACGACACGACTGTCGCTCGTCCTCTCCGTCAGGACAGTCGCGCTGGTAGTCGCACACCCACTGGTTCGGGATGCACTTCTGAGACGCCGAGCACATGAACGACGTCGTCGGACATGTTGTCGAATATGTGTCTGCGGAGGGAGAGAGCGAGGGTCAGTGAGACATTAATGAGGTCAGCAGCAGGGTCGGTGAGGACTAGAGAAGGAGCAGGGACCAGCACTCAGCAGGGGTCAGCGAGGGGTCAATGAGGTCAGCAGTGGTCAGTGTGTGTGTGGGGGGGGGAGACTTCAAACATTCGTCCGGCCAGCAGACCGTACGAAAAGAGTACCCCTCTCCTCTCAATCAGACCAAGCGGTACATTTTTTACCCAATTCTCTCCACCCTTCCACCCTGGTACCTGAACGGTGACAAATATCGCTAACACTAGCTATGATGACTCCTTTCTGTCAGTAAACTGCGCACTATTCAGCAATATCCCAGAAAGGATTTGTCATGCCTCGTCATGCGCGAAACGAGTTTGCAAATCCTGGCTGGATGACTCAGCAGCGTTCCTGTCAGCGCTGTCAGGACAGATGACAGTGGGTTGGGTGGGATTGTAAGAGAAGCTGACAGTCGACGCTGCCGGGACAGGCGACAGTGACAGTGTTGTTAAAGATATGAGATAAGGTGACAGCCGAGGTTGGTCGCTTTTAGTGTGGGGTGACAGTCCGGTAAGAGCGCTGTGAAACAGGTGACAGCTGACACAAGATGCTGTCACCGCCGGCAGAGGTGACATCGCACTTCATCAGCTTTCGCCGCTGAAATTACTGACGGCGAGCTGAGAAAGGAACCAGAAGGTGTGGACCAGATACAAGCATACCTACTGAGTACTGCCCACCCGATGTCAGTACTATTCAATATTTGGCTACACTGTCTATATTCGCCGTCAGTGTAAACCAGTCACCGACTGTATTTCCCGCCCATATTCAATGCCCTAAGTCCGGTCAGGGACACACTTGTCGCACCTTACGAGGGAAGTCCGGAGAGGGTGAGAAGCAGAGACAAAGTGAACCAAAGTATATACCACCGTACCGGCCGGTGCCAGGCCGCAGGAGGCGCGTTCACCGGAGCAGCGCTCCAGTTCCGAGAACAGGCCGCCGACCAGGGGCGTCTGAATCAGCGTGACACACCGGCCCGGGGCGACCAGCGCCGCGCAAACAGCGCCGTGGGCAGGGAGAGAGTCGAGAGACCACACCACGGCGCGGCTCCCGCCGGGAGAAACCGGCCGGCCGCGCCACAAGTAGCCAACGCGACACGACACCGAAACACACTCTGTGGCTGCCACCTACGAGCCGACGATGAGCAGATGAATAGAAACGAACGTGGTCAGGAACAATACTCAGAACAACCTCGCGTTTATTTTATTTGTCAAAGCACTACAAGCAGCCAACTCCAGGGTATAGCCTCCAACGAAGTAGGGTACCGCCTCCGCCGATGAAGCAGGGCTGGTCGTGCAGCACGGGCGGCTCGGGCCGAGCGGATCCGGCAGGAGCCGGCGGTAACCGGCCCGCCCACCTGTTGGTTTCCTGAGTCAGCTGTCCGCGCCGGCCCGCCCGGCCCGGCCCGGTCCGCCGCCGGGACCCCGCGGGTGTCCGGGCGGTGCCGGGGTGGGCGGCGGCCACCTCCGACACTCGCCGACCGTTATAACAGCCTCGGCGGGCTCTCGGCCGTTTACAGGCGTGGTCCGGCAAGGCCGGGCGGGTCTCAGCTGACAGCTATAGTCCAACCACACCGTCCACAGCGCCACAAGGTCCGGCAGGCTCGGCCAACAGCCTCTGGGACAGGTTTGGACACCACGTGGGATGCTTGGCGCAGGTTCTGCCTGGAACTGGAGGTCTCCGACCCAGCACCGGACTCCGGGCCGACGCTGTGGCTCCGCGTTCCGATGAAACATTCATGTCTCAATGAATATCTTCAAGCATAGACAAGACGGGAATGTTTAAAAATCACTTAATATGCCAGAGCGTTGCACGGCATCTTCAAAGCACGATACCTTACCTACTGTCGCGTATCTTCAACAGTCAAAGTAAAAGAGCAAACGCTTCAAAAGGCAATCAAAAGTCGATAAAAAAGACAGTGACGTCTGGCTGTCCGGACAATGTGCAAATGCTTCAGGCCCCCAGAGACAGTGCAGTCCATTTTACACTTTCCATGTAACACAGAGGACCTGCAGTGGCCGAGTGGTTGCGGCGACACACCGCCAGTGATACCGTCTCACCGGCCGGCGCCGCGTCGCAGTCTCCCTGCTCGGCGGCACAGTCCGCCGGCCGCTCGGACAGACTCGGAGACTGCAGCGACGCGCCGCGAGCAGGACGGTAGCACCAGCCACTGGCTCTCCGGCCGAACCCCGCCGTCCGCCCGCAGGAAAGGGGATGGGAGAGACCGCGGAACGTGCCGAAGGCTGAGAGTGGCCGTGAATTCCACCCGTGACTGGTTCTCGTCAGGATGAGATCACCAGATGGTAATCAAGGCGAGCTGTCTACCAATTGTGGTATTTACAGAGGCGGGGATTCCCGCGGCACAGAGCAGCCTACGAACTGCAGGTCTGACTGCTAACAATGAGTGTACCAAGAGAAGACACGGATCTCAGTGTCTCCGGGTCGGGGGCTCCCGCAGGGGTATAAATGGTATAATAATGCGATCAGAGCCAATACCACCGAATCCGGCTCAGAAAGCTTCAGAGAGATACCGTCTCAGAATTGCATATGATTGGTAAATGCTGATCTTTCAGAAAACATTTACATTTACCCTGCAGCAAGCAATCAACAGCTACTTCGGAAAATTGAATGCATAATCGTTTACTTGCACACTGGCTAAAAGTGCACCTCGTTGCGAAGGGTTGTGGAAACTTAATCACAGATCTGCGACTGCATAACTACATTGCACCTTTTTAGATAAAGGTGACCGTGACAAATGACAAAATTCACCATGAGTAGGTATAGACAAAGGTTTAACTCGATTAAAAAGTAAGCCACTAAACCTGGCCCCGCTCCCAACATACAGATTCCGGCTGTCCAATTGGCAACATATTAACATCAGTCGTTCTCTGACGCTGGTGGTGGCTCACTGTCCATTGTATACGGAGGGATGCCAGTCACAGTTCCACGGGAGAAACAATCGGACGCACCAGTTATAATGACACTGGCGTGCCGAGACAAAGAGACAGCGCCAGTCTCATTCCCGATCGGCCGGGATCGATTTCACCGGCCGGATGGACTGGACCGCCAGATGGATATGCTATTCATTTCCCAATGAAGTTCCGCTCACGGGTGAATAGTCAAACCCAGTGGGCTGAGCGGGACAGACTCTCTGGGCTGAGCGGGACAGACTCACTGGGCTGAGCGGAACAGACTCACTGAGTTATGCGGGTCGGACTCACTGAGCAGGCCAGACTCGCCAAACTCAGTGGGTTGAACACATCAATGAGTTGTTCGTATCGACTAGTGAGTCGATGGAGCCAAACTGGGCTGAATGGGCCGGACTCACGTCCCACACGCCTCTCCATCTGCCAGTCGCCAGGTAAAACGAAGTATATAGAAGTATAATAATGTATCAATGGTCTCAATTTTAGCTCCTTAATGATTTTCAATCGTCTTGCATGGTGCTTAAAAGGTCATATACCTAATTTTCTAACTAGATACAAAATACAGCATTTAAAAAACAGACCGTTGCTTCAAAGCTGCCAGAAAGAACGACGACCAACAAGAAAAACTGCGTCAATATCGCCTCACAAAATCGCCTTAAATGGACTGACGGCGAACTGTTTGAGCGCCGCTGACACAGGAAAGCGATCACGGGGACCAGAAACGAGCACGCACTGGCGCACGGGACCGCTCTGCTTTAGACGCCGATAGTCTTTGATAGCGGTCGGTACGGACCGGTCTGGGTCTTATGTCCTGGGTCCGGTGTGTCACTCCTGTTACCCCCTCCACATACACACACAAAACCCTGCACGCACATCAGCGTGGCTCTGCCGGTAAGGTTGGCACTGGACGGCGTTACTGGACCTGGGGCGGGCCCGCGGTCCTAGCGGGCAACAGAGTCTTGAACGGACCCAACGTCTTTGGTCTGTCCGGGCCCGCGGTGCACCTGCTTCCTTCTGCAATGCACCAGACCTCTGCCTGCGCCGGAGGGGTGGGGGACAGAGCAGCGGACTGACTGACGTCACCACAAGCCGCTGGCGACTATAGTGCAGCTGTACCAGGAGCCACCAAGCCACCGTGACTATAGTGCAGCTGCACCAAAAGTCATCGCGACTATAGTGCAGCTGTATCAAAAGCCACCGCGACTATAGTACAGCTGCACCAAAAGCCACTACGACTTATAGTGCAGCTACACCAGGAGCCGCTCGCGACTATAGAAAGTGCGGCAGCAATAGGAGTTTCGTCTCTCAGTCCATGAACTATGAACTCATAGCCGGGCATCCAAAAGCAAGTTCATAACAGTGTGGTGTGGACAGTAGCCGCCGTTCCACCGGCCGCGCTGCTCAGACTGCCGCTCCTCTGCTGCGCCTGTATCGGTCGGCTCGGTGCCTGTCCCTGGTTCGGGGAACTCACTGGGGACGTTATTGGCCACCAAGTCACACGGTGAGGGAAGCGTCAGACGACAGCATGCATCATCCAGTGACGCCAAACGTCACCATACGGTGACGTCACTGGGGCCCATGGTCAAAGGAACACAGCACGGCGAGCGCGGCGTTTGGAGTCGGAACGACAGGGCGACTCAGCTCTGGCTCAGCAGGTATCCCGGAGAGCCCGACTCAGTTGCATGCGCGTTGGAAATAGGAGGGTGTCTACAAATGGGGATCGAGATGTCTCTGATATTCTTATCTCAGTTATGGCCGACGGGGTAGGTAGACTAGCTGCGACCGGGGCGGGAGGCTGGGCTGACGGTCGGAGATAGTCCGACGACCATGGACAGGGAGGGACGGTTGATTGCCCTTGGACTGATGTGAGGAGACTCAGCCGTAAACCCGGAGAGGGATCAGACGACAGTGTGGTGACGGGCCGGCAGCCGGGCGGCCTCGACGGCAGCTTAACCGCTCCCGATGACCGGACGGCGAACACGGCACCCGACCGCCTGCTGACGGCAGAC